TAGCCACCTCCTCGATCTCCGCCATAGCCGCCTCCTCGATCTCCTCCATAGCCTCCTCGATCTCCACCGTAGCCGCCTCGATCTCCACCATAGCCGCCTCCTCGATCTCCGCCGTAGCCACCTCGATCTCCACCGTAGCTGCCTCGATCTCCACCATAGCCACCTCCTCGATCTCCGCCATAGCTGCCTCCTCGATCTCCGCCATAGCCTCCTCGATCTCCGCCATAGCCGCCTCCTCGATCTCCGCCGTAGCCACCTCGATCTCCACCGTAGCCTCCTCGATCTCCGCCATAGCCGCCTCCTCTGTCCCCACCATAGCCACCCCCACTTCTGTCTCCACCATAGCCACCCCCTCTTCTATCTCCGCCGTAGCCACCGCAGCCGCTTCTGTCTCCACCATAGCCACCACCACTTCTATCTCCACCGCAGCCGCCTCGGTCTCCACCTCTGCCCCCACGACCTCTGTAGCCCCTCTCTCCACTGTAGCCTCTCCCCCGGAAATCTCCTCCTGAGGGACGAGAATCTTCTGGTCTAGGCTCATTGCACTGATTGCTGGAATTCCTTCGAGCAAAGTTCATATTTCCACATGACGGAGTAGGGCAAACCCAATCCCCACTTTTGGTGTCTCCACCTCTTCCCTGAAAGCCTCCACGGCCTCTATAGCCTCCACGGCCTCGCGGCCCACCTCCACTTCCACCTCCTCTCATGAATTCAGGTCTTCTGGTGGCAAATGACACTTTAATGATGTTGCCATGGAATTCTTTTCCATCAAACCAGTCAATGGCTGCCTTAGCTGAAGGAGGGTCATCAAATGACACTGTTGCCTCTCCTTTTGGCTTCCCTGTGTCCTTGTCTGTGTAAAGATTTATCATTGGTTTTCCGGTCTTCTTGTTTGTCTTGATAATTCCTATTTGTTTAAAGAACTCCCCCACTTGATCTGTAGATACACCCTCCCGAAGTCCTTGCACAAAGATTGTGTTGTTATCTGAATTATCAGATTCTGAATCAGCATCTGGTCTGGGTCCATAATCCCTGTGACCACCAAAATTTTTGAAGCCACCGCGGTCACCACCACTCGATCCTGTCATAGGACCTCTTCCATCCTTGTCATATCCCCCATGCCCTCTACCTCCTCCCTGTGACCCGCCATACAAGATGACCGTCGTGATGTGAGTAGGTATGGAGAAGACAGCCCAACCTATTATGCCATACTTTATGTTTTTGGAAGTTCTCCTGTAGTTTTCTCACTGCCTGACAATCTCCTGCTTATATTTTCTCTGTCTATCAAATTTCTATTTATTGTTTAAGACTTAGCTAAAAAATCACCTTCTGTATCAAACATTCACGTAACTTCCTGGCAAAGTTATTTGCTCCCCAACTCTGAACACCTATATCACTTATTAAAGCATATTAGTGATACTAAAGAATTGTCGGCATATCAGAACCCCTGAACAGACTGTGGTCAATTATACCTATGGTGCCTGCAATAAAGCTGGCTGAATCAATGAACTTATCACTCAGACGAGGCAATAGAGTCATACGCCGAGCTATTTCTATTTCTATAAATGGGAATCTTAAGACAAATTGGCATAAGTCCCTTTCCTGCATCAGTGACTAAACAGAGGGAGCAGTTTTGAAGAAAAGCAGAAAGTCCTCAATGCCCTCAAATCATAATATGGACACTGGCAGGACTGTGATGGGATGGATCTTAGTGAGGCCACAAAAAAGGACAGTCAGGGATTGAGGTTTGCTTTATTATTGTTTCATAGGGAAATGCCAGAGATATAATCAGGCAGCAACAACCACAAAACACCAAGCCAAGAGAAATTTAGGAAATGTCCCACATGCTGACAGTCTCAGAAAACAGTGTTGTAGGCAGCATTCCTCTTTTTTGTCCTGCTTACTACGGTTAGCAACCGACTCAAGAGACCACGTGGCCATATTCAGACTCCCAGTTAAGGGTCCTTTGGGAAATGCTTTGCACAGTTTTTGCCCCTCCTCTCTATATCAAATACCTACCTAGTGGCCTATGCCCATGGGATCAGATCAGTAATAGGTAATGTGGAACAACGAAATCACAGTTCTCCAAACTATGGGATGCTATTCACTAATGGGTTGTGAAATTGATTAGTAAAGACATAATGAAATGTTTAAAATATGAAATAGAACAGTGAAGACTAGAAAGCATTAGATACCAACATAATTAGTAAGTCTTGTAGCATGTATGTATGTATGTGTCTGTGTTTGTGTACGTGTGTGTATGCGTGTGTGGTGTATGTGTGTATGTGTGTGTGCACACGAGTTCACAATGTAAAATGCATGCGTTTGCTTGGGTCAGTATACATGTGTGTTTATCTATTTTTTCTTCTCCAACTGCTACTTGAGAATGCTTAGTTAACATGTCTAATTAGTTATAACCCTTTTGAGTAATTAAAATTAGGGGAGTCTTTAAGTAATAACTGAAAAACAGATGACTGCGTTGTCTCATGTTCAAAAGTTACATCGCAGGTTCGTTTTCTGAGCATCACTGTGAGGGTTGCTGCAGCGAGGACTGAGGTGTGCATGCGGAAGTGTCCACTACAGGGTAGGCACAAAGTGGAGCATGGTAGATTATCCTTGGCTTGCTTGGAACCATTCATAATTTAAAAATGTAAACGCATCACTACCAGGCACTGTGAGGCACAGGGAGAGAAAACATTCTACCGGGGTCTGCCCTGTGCGTCCCTGGGCTCACCACATCCCACCCCGTCCATTCCAAGCGCTCTCATTTCCAGTGCCGGCATCTGTCTCATCTCTGCATTTCTGCAGCTTATCTATACATTGGTCAACTGGAAGCAGCTTCACCAGCAGCGGGAACAGATACAGAAACACAGAAAGTTGTGGCCTAGCTCCTCCTAATAAATTTTGGGGCCAGAAATTGCCCATTCCTTTTAGGTGGTGCCAAAGGAAGCCAGGAGTTCTCAGGGCAGAAGCCCTCACAGTGAAAACCGTATGAGAGATGAATGTTTTGGAACTTTTTGTGCGTCTGATGCTCCTTGACCTCAGCTAATAATAACTTTGGGCTTTTGAGTGATTTCAGACAAAAACGAATATCCAAGGGCAATAAAAATACTCATTTCTGAAAATCACCACTGCTGTCCCTTTCCTGCGATCAGAGGAATTCACATTTCTGGGGGCTGACCAACATTGGTAGAAGGTATGGGCTGTTGACCTCTGGGAGCAGAGGCGCTGTGGTCCCACACAGGACTCTCCAGCTCCCAGCGTCACTCCAGGCAGCCCAGATCATGCCCTTGCCAGGCCCTCTTTCAAATGACATTGTCCAAAGTGGACTCATGCCGTTTCCTCTTGGCACAGCTGTTGGATCCCACTGGCAATTATTTGGAGTCAGAACGTGTTTGCTGTGGATTTTTCTGTGCCTCCGACCTCAGGTGTGAGGAAAGGTAGTGCTTAGCACATGTGCTTAAGCTGGCAACACTGACCACAAGGGGCTGACTGAGTCCATTCTGCAGTGGCAAGCTATGGCCCTAAAGATGGCTTAGTCTCATGNAAAATGTCACTTAATTTCACTACCCAAGAAGAGGCCACGAGGAAAGCAGCAGGCAAAACTCAGGCAATTTCACTATGGATCATGTCAGAGACAAAGGAACATTAAAAACAGTCATCAGTATGGTCGGTTGCGCTGATCATTTCTGTAGTCGTTTCTTCCTCCCATTTTGCCTCCATAGCCACCTCGGTCTCCTCCATAGCCCCCACCTCGGTCTCCTCCATAGCCGCCACTCCTGTCTCCTCCCTAGCCTCCACTTCGGTCTCCACCGTAGCCTCCTCGATCTCCTCCATAGCCTCCTCGATCTCCACCATAGCCACCTCCTCGATCTCCACCATAGCTGCCTCCTCGATCTCCACCATAGCCGCCTCCTCGATCTCCGCCATAGCCACCTCCTCGATCTCCGCCATAGCCGCCTCCTCGATCTCCTCCATAGCCTCCTCGATCTCCACCGTAGCCGCCTCGATCTCCACCATAGCCGCCTCCTCGATCTCCGCCGTAGCCACCTCGATCTCCACCGTAGCTGCCTCGATCTCCACCATAGCCACCTCCTCGATCTCCGCCATAGCTGCCTCCTCGATCTCCGCCATAGCCTCCTCGATCTCCGCCATAGCCGCCTCCTCGATCTCCGCCGTAGCCACCTCGATCTCCACCGTAGCCTCCTCGATCTCCGCCATAGCCGCCTCCTCTGTCCCCACCATAGCCACCCCCACTTCTGTCTCCACCATAGCCACCCCCTCTTCTATCTCCGCCGTAGCCACCACAGCCGCTTCTGTCTCCACCATAGCCACCACCACTTCTATCTCCACCATAGCCGCCTCGGTCTCCACCTCTGCCCCCACGACCTCTGTAGCCCCTCTCTCCACTGTAGCCTCTCCCCCGGAAATCTGCAAGGTAGAAATGCAAACCAGTGAGGCCAGCAGAATAAAATAAAGCCTCCTCAATGTTAGTTGTTAGATAAGCACCATGTAGATGCTATTAAAGAGCTGAGCTACCTCCTCCTGAGGGACGAGAATCTTCTGGTCTAGGCTCATTGCACTGATTGCAGGAATTCCTTCGAGCAAAGTTCATATTTCCACATGACCTGAGAAAAGAAGGAAAATAAAATGATCCTCTATAGCTTCCAATGGATTCGGAACCCCTTCTTGCACCCTCCAAACCCAATCCCAACCTGTACTCCCATCAAGGTAAATGGGATACTTACGGATTAGGGCAAACCCAATCCCCACTTTTGGGGTCTCCACCTCTTCCCTGAAAGCCTCCACGGCCTCTATAGCCTCCACGGCCTGGGGGTAATGGAGAACAAGGAGAAAAATCAGCAGCAGACATTAACAAAACAGAGGAAAAGTACCAGATGAAAGAAATAAGAGCAAGTGCCCATCAATACCTGGGCAGCTACCACCTCCCCCCAAATCTTGATCCTGTCATAGGACCTCTTCCATCCTTGTCATATCCCCCACGCCCTCTACCTCCTCCCTGTGACCCGCCATACAAGATGACCGTCGTGATGTGAGTAGGTATGGAGAAGACAGCCCAACCTATTATGCCATACTTTATGTTTTTGGAAGTTCTCCTGTAGTTTTCTCACTGCCTGACAATCTCCTGCTTATATTTTCTCTGTCTATCAAATTTCTATTTATTGTTTAAGACTTAGCTAAAAAATCACCTTCTGTATCAAACATTCACGTAACTTCCTGGCAAAGTTATTTGCTCCCCAACTCTGAACACCTATATCACTTATTAAAGCATATTAGTGATACTAAAGAATTGTCGGCATATCAGAACCCCTGAACAGACTGTGGTCAATTATACCTATGGTGCCTGCAATAAAGCTGGCTGAATCAATGAACTTATCACTCAGACGAGGCAATAGAGTCATACGCCGAGCTATTTCTATTTCTATAAATGGGAATCTTAAGACAAATTGGCATAAGTCCCTTTCCTGCATCAGTGACTAAACAGAGGGAGCAGGAGCAGTTTTGAAGAAAAGCAGAAAGTCCTCAATGCCCTCAAATCATAATATGGACACTGGCAGGACTGTGATGGGATGGATCTTAGTGAGGCCACAAAAAAGGACAGTCAGGGATTGAGGTTTGCTTTATTATTGTTTCATAGGGAAATGCCAGAGATATAATCAGGCAGCAACAACCACAAAACACCAAGCCAAGAGAAATTTAGGAAATGTCCCACATGCTGACAGTCTCAGAAAACAGTGTTGTAGGCAGCATTCCTCTTTTTTGTCCTGCTTACTACGGTTAGCAACCGACTCAAGAGACCACGTGGCCATATTCAGACTCCCAGTTAAGGGTCCTTTGGGAAATGCTTTGCACAGTTTTTGCCCCTCCTCTCTATATCAAATACCTACCTAGTGGCCTATGCCCATGGGATCAGATCAGTAATAGGTAATGTGGAACAACGAAATCACAGTTCTCCAAACTATGGGATGCTATTCACTAATGGGTTGTGAAATTGATTAGTAAAGACATAATGAAATGTTTAAAATATGAAATAGAACAGTGAAGACTAGAAAGCATTAGATACCAACATAATTAGTAAGTCTTGTAGCATGTATGTATGTATGTGTCTGTGTTTGTGTACGTGTGTGTATGCGTGTGTGGTGTATGTGTGTATGTGTGTGTGCACACGAGTTCACAATGTAAAATGCATGCGTTTGCTTGGGTCAGTATACATGTGTGTTTATCTATTTTTTCTTCTCCAACTGCTACTTGAGAATGCTTAGTTAACATGTCTAATTAGTTATAACCCTTTTGAGTAATTAAAATTAGGGGAGTCTTTAAGTAATAACTGAAAAACAGATGACTGCGTTGTCTCATGTTCAAAAGTTACATCGCAGGTTCGTTTTCTGAGCATCACTGTGAGGGTTGCTGCAGCGAGGACTGAGGTGTGCATGCGGAAGTGTCCACTACAGGGTAGGCACAAAGTGGAGCATGGTAGATTATCCTTGGCTTGCTTGGAACCATTCATAATTTAAAAATGTAAACGCATCACTACCAGGCACTGTGAGGCACAGGGAGAGAAAACATTCTACCGGGGTCTGCCCTGTGCGTCCCTGGGCTCACCACATCCCACCCCGTCCATTCCAAGCGCTCTCATTTCCAGTGCCGGCATCTGTCTCATCTCTGCATTTCTGCAGCTTATCTATACATTGGTCAACTGGAAGCAGCTTCACCAGCAGCGGGAACAGATACAGAAACACAGAAAGTTGTGGCCTAGCTCCTCCTAATAAATTTTGGGGCCAGAAATTGCCCATTCCTTTTAGGTGGTGCCAAAGGAAGCCAGGAGTTCTCAGGGCAGAAGCCCTCACAGTGAAAACCGTATGAGAGATGAATGTTTTGGAACTTTTTGTGCGTCTGATGCTCCTTGACCTCAGCTAATAATAACTTTGGGCTTTTGAGTGATTTCAGACAAAAACGAATATCCAAGGGCAATAAAAATACTCATTTCTGAAAATCACCACTGCTGTCCCTTTCCTGCGATCAGAGGAATTCACATTTCTGGGGGCTGACCAACATTGGTAGAAGGTATGGGCTGTTGACCTCTGGGAGCAGAGGCGCTGTGGTCCCACACAGGACTCTCCAGCTCCCAGCGTCACTCCAGGCAGCCCAGATCATGCCCTTGCCAGGCCCTCTTTCAAATGACATTGTCCAAAGTGGACTCATGCCGTTTCCTCTTGGCACAGCTGTTGGATCCCACTGGCAATTATTTGGAGTCAGAACGCGTTTGCTGTGGATTTTTCTGTGCCTCCGACCTCAGGTGTGAGGAAAGGTAGTGCTTAGCACATGTGCTTAAGCTGGCAACACTGACCACAAGCTCATGCCGTTTCCTCTTGGCACAGCTGTTGGATCCCACTGGCAATTATTTGGAGTCAGAACGTGTTTGCTGTGGATTTTTCTGTGCCTCCGACCTCAGGTGTGAGGAAAGGTAGTGCTTAGCACATGTGCTTAAGCTGGCAACACTGACCACAAGGGGCTGACTGAGTCCATTCTGCAGTGGCAAGCTATGGCCCTAAAGATGGCTTAGTCTCATGGATTAGGTCAGGAGGGACCAAAAGAGGAGTAAGGTGCAGTCTTCATTTCTTCAGGCTGCTAGAACAAAATACCCAGTGGCAGCTTATAAACAACAGAAATTTATTTTTCACCATTCTAGAGGCTGGGAAGTCCAAGATCAAAGCACATTTGGTGTCTAGTGAGGGCTTGCTTGCTGGTCCATAGATGATGGGTCACTGTGTCCTCACGTGGTGGAGAACCAACAAGATCAACTTCCCTCAGGTCTCTTTTTAAAAGGCACTAATCCCATTCATGAGGTCTTCACCCCATGACCTAATGGCCTTTGAAAAGCTCCACTTCCTAATGCCATCAGCTCAGGGGTTAGGATTTCAAGATATGCATTTTGGGGATAAGCATTTGGACCATAGCAAGTGTGATGAGGCTCACTAGACCAAGATCCAGAACCAGCCCCTTCCCTAACCTATAACAGGATCCAGGACGAAGCATCTGACAGATGTTCTGAGTGTTCAGCTTCCCCATCTGGAAGTGGACAGTGGGTCACTGAAGCAGTGGGGTGCTACAAATGGTAAGATATTCATACCTGCTTCATAGGGGTTTTAAGTGGATCAGATGAGGAGGCACACACTGTTTGCGAAGCCAGATACATCTAAAGCAAGTTAATGTATGTCAGTTGTCACTGTTTTTCATTTCTTCTGAAAGGACAGACTTTCCTGGAAAATTGTTATAAAAAGTCAAAATGTGCTCATCTTAAACCCTGCAAGAAGGAATTGGCTTTGATATGAACCATCTATAACTTTGTTCCAGAGCAATGGGATTAAGAAATAATCTTCAAATTAAACTCCATTACACAATTCAAGGTTTCTTCTTCTTAATTTTTCAATTGAATAATTGAGTTTATTAAAAAATAAGAGAAAATTTGAATATTATTTGCCAGGGATTCCCACACGTACTTTAAGCTATTACCATAAAAAGGCTATTTAATTGATGAGAATGTATTTTTTAAAATCAGAAATGCAGATTCACCTCACCCCATAAAACTTTAATAGTTGAATATCATGTGCTTGTCATTCAATTATTGTGCAAATAAATTATGTATAGGAAAACACCTGGTGCTTAGTTCCTTATTTACATTTATGAGTAGATCTGCATGCACATGGTGTGTTTGGTGGAGCGGGAAGGCAGAAGCCAGCTGCCCTCAACGGAAGGGACTGTTTGAAGCCTAAATTGAAATCACTGAAGAAGAATTTGAGAAATACAACAGGACTTGACAACCCTGGTTACTGACAAACAGTACTGGCCACTAACTTTGCATATAATTACAGATAGCCATCTTTGCTGCAAATCAATGCGTATCTTAGTACTGAACTTATCTTAGAAATACTCTTTTTGAAGAGTTCAGATATCTGACACCTTCATTTTACAGATGAGATTGAGATGTGTGACCTCTTGCTAAATGTAACAATCTTGTCCCTCGTGTCTGTATCCTCTAAGCCTGGCAGTAATACGTACTTAACTCTCACCCCTTGGTTCACTTGCAGCCTGGCTTCTGGAGTCCCTCCTGATGCAGGTGGAGCTGTGTG